GTTTCATTTTGGTCTGATGACATTCAACTGCAGATTCACTGCGGAGCAGTTCTATTTGATTGACGGAAGTGTAACATGGCTGCTGTTCGCTAGAGCCGGTATTGCTGATATGGGTTATATATGAAATCAAGATCGAGCTGGCAATACCGGAATCTAGAACCTAGGGTTGAATGGTGCAAAACAGATACACATTGCCAGGTAGATTATTCTGTCGCAACGAACGCCCCGCGCAGTGCTAAGGATGTATGCCCAGCCTGAATTAATGAGGGGCAAATTGTCACAAAGACGCGCTTTTCAAGATCCAATGTTGTCAATGTTTAAGCAGGTTACAGTATTTTAGAATAATTGCGATAACCACCACTTTGGTAGTAAAATCATATTTATTATTTGTAATTCCTTAAAATTGGGGTTGGGGTGGGGTCCTTTTGGTGCTCAAGTAAAGGAGAAATGGTAAAATGGCATCGGTAAATGCAAAGGCATTTAATAAGTGTACTCTGACAATTAATTTATTTTCAAAACCATACATAAAGACAATAATTTTGGAGTTTTAATATAACACTGTCCTCCGTGTCTTATTCATTGATATAATGGACACATAGCATTGATCTGTGTCATGATAAATGGACGAATGCACGAAAAAGAGCACAGTGCAAAAGCTTTTTTTAGATAAACCACTCCTCGCGAAACTTTATTTGCTAATACAGCAGATAATTTTATTTGACTTATTTCACTTGTACTTTGCGATAATCTCCGCGATTCATCTATACCCTCGTGCGTGTTGTGATTCTGCACGCGAAATGATTGAGCCGAACAGATTGTTTGGTCAAAATTCCCTTTCATTAAGATGTTTATGAACAATGGGTGCATTATTGATGCCAACGATCATACACATGACACCTAAAATGCTCAGCAGATATTATTTTGATACTAAGGAAGTGAACAAAACGGTCCCAAAGAAGCTGATCTTTGCAACATTGTAAAGAGCGATCGGCGGTTAACATACGTTATTTTGCAAAGGAGATAATGTTAACACATTTATTACTTTGGAAGAGTGCTCTAATTGCAGTTTCTCTGAGCCATGGTGAGTATTCAGTATTTACAGTATTGCATGTATTCACTGGTAAAAAATAGTTTTTTTTTAGCGCATTCAGAACAGCGGATCAAATATCCACTAGAAAGCTTGCTGCTTATTCCCCATTAGACCCTGAACAGATTTTCCGCAGGATTTTGCAACAATTAAGTTTCAATTGGGTCGGCCATATTTGATATGCGGATCTCTGAGTCCGCTGTTCTGCACGTGCTCTGTATTGTAAGTCTTGCGTATGTGACGATGGCATTGAATTGTACTTTAATTGCTACGGGGGAAACCATAAAACCTTAATTTTCTTTCATTTTATTTATTTACTACTTCCCATGTGGTTCCCGCGCCGCTTTCTTTCCCTTTCTCTGTACTTCTTTCAATCTGTTTACGTTACATGCCTCTCTTTAAGTACTGCATGTTGTGAGAACATATGCCAATCAACTCTACCGAAAATTTACTCATCATGCCAATTGCCAATATAATGTTGGGAATGTCATCGTCATGTTTGATTTAGGACTAAAACTATAGTAGAAATACTGTAAAAACTGCTTACTGTAGAGCGGCATTTACAAATAAAGAGACCTAACATGACTCTTCTTTTTTTCCATCAGGTGAAAGGACAGCTGAGAAGACGGCGGCAGCAACCATGGTAAAAGCAGGGGAGCGCAATTTCCTTACTTTGTTCCCCGATCCAACCCGTTATTCGTGGCCACTAAGAGCATTTTTCCTCTCAACGAAATGCAAATCAGGGAAGGAGAATAAATATTGTGTTAACACGAAAAAAACCCTATCAGTAAAAAAGTCGTTGTCTTCAATCAAGCAAAAATCAAGGAAAAGAAACAAAAAGTGCCTGGACAAGACAATATCGCCTGTACCAGATACCTTACCAGAGCTGAAGACGTTCTTCGTGAAATATCTCAACGTATTTGGCGTGAATATAGTCGCCACTGCCGGTGTCCCGGATGTTAAGATGATCCATGCTGCCGGAGTGATGGCCCAGTACCTGGATAACGATGGTGACGGTTGTGTGGATAGTCCAGCTGTGATCAAGAACATGGTGGAGCGTAGATCCACTTTGGTCATGTTCAGGTTTGTGTTTTCTGTTATTTCAGAGGTGGTTACCTCCACCATTAAAACATGTTGGTGCTAAAAGCTACTTCGGTCACGTATTTTTCTTTTCTTTTCTTGTTTAAATATAGTTTTTAATGATTCATATTTCACACAAGACCCAATGTTTGCTGCAGGTAGTGTATGTAGGTTGTTCGTGGGAATTTCTGTGGTTTGGTATTAAAAACGTGCGCTGTACAGTAAAATAATTAAAAATCGAGAGAGAGAGAGAGAGAGAGAGAGAGAAAGTAATTTGCCGCATAAGCTGTTTGTTTAGAAATATCAATCACGTGTAGCTTTTTGCAGCTTCTTTTTTTATTTTTATTTTTAAAATCTAGAAATGAGGCGGAGTTGGAAGAGCGTGCCAACGAGTTTGGAGAACTTTTAAACACAATAATCGGGTAAATAGTTTCAGATATACACGTATAGGCATAATCATGAAAACATTCACCAAATAACTTGTACTGCTTCAAATTCCCTATTTGGCAAGTCTTATGCTGTAACATTTTATCCATGCAGAAAAAAATGCTTCTGATTACTGTAAAGTAGCCTTGATATGTCAGATTAAAATTACTTTCATTTAATTCTTTTTTTTAAATTATTGCCATGCCATTTAATACATGTTTATGCTGTGAGGGTCGGGAGGGGAGGAGTAGGAGGGGTGGGGGCGGAGGGGGGTAATTCAGCCATAAGTAGACGTTGGGTTACTTGGAAACTTAGGGTCCGAGTTACATCGAATCCGCCATTCATTTGATGCATACAGATTTCGATTCTAAAACGTCAGTGCATTAAAATCTTGGATGCGAAGACTGTATTACAGGTACACCCCAGGTGACACTCGTACTAGATACCGATTCCCTTATTTCATGCTAACCCTTAGCTCATTGAATCTATTGGACAGCGGGCTCCTTGCAACGGGGTCCCTCATGTTATTTTAAGAACATTGAAATTATGATAAGACAGTTATATTAAAAATAAACATTTCGATAAGACATATTAAACACAGAAACTGCCTTTCACGATTATACCTTCATTATCAACTAATTTATTCCGAAGCAAAATCAAATTCCAAGATCTTCTTGGAGATGAAACTCACTCCCCGGAAGAGGGTAGTCCCGACCCCGACGCGGCACTGGAAGAGACACTGCACCTTGTCCAAGAGGCTGGGTTGGTGAATGCTTTCCCGGGGCAGTTTGCTGTTGACGAGGACTCACTACTAGACCGGGCTTTGGAAAAAGCTATCAATGACTGTGGCTTTGCCTTTAACGGCACTCTTAGGTAAATATTTTGTATTGTATGGATGGATGGTATGTTTTTGCTTGTATTTTTATGACTTCAGTTTTATTTGAATGCTGCAAAATAGATTATTATTGTCTTTGGTGCTACGATGATAACAAGCAAATTGTTTCTACGAAAAAATGGCGTTTTTTATTACTGATACGTAAGAAGATTTGGCCTTTCATCAAGAGGTCACGATACCGTGACCAACTATTGTCCTTGAATAAATTATTAACATTGAACACACTGTGTACAGTGTGTAAATCGTGTCGAATTATAGGCGTCATAAATGTGTTGCATGTTGTCATTTATTTACAGATATTCCAACACATACATGATACAAAATCAAATCAAACTCCCGCATTGTTTAATCAATCGCTTAACAGCAAACTTTCCCGAAATTATGTAATTTGCAAAGGGATATTTTTATCTATGAAAATGAAATATCAAATATAATACTCTAAATAATCTGCACGGTTAACTAACTTTCATTCAGTAAATGTTCTTCGGGACAGCCAAAAAATGATTATTTCATATGAAAAACAAAAGTGCAAAGTATAAATGGCTAAAGTATTAGCACATGCACTATCCACTTTACAAACAGTCATACTATATGGTATTCAAATGCCTCCGTTAAATCATATCGATATGTTGAGCTCTTTTGTATGTTTAAGTAGGACTAGACGTTTTTCATACATATAGGTATCCCAACTGTAATGGCGTCTTCCACTATGGTGATGACACGTGTGACTATAAGTGTCTTCTTTCGGAATTGCTATACTGGGGACTCTCGTCCATTCTCGGCGCACATGGTGGAAAATGTGACGAAATCTCGGATGAGTGGGAGCTGTGCACGAAAGATTTAGTGAAGGAAAAACTGCCAGAACTTTACTCTCTCTTGACAAGAAGAATTGGAAAGTACAGGTTGCCTAACGTTTTGCCGAACGGAAAGTATCGGAAGTTCTGTTGATTTTTAGCGCGTGTCGGCCTTATCGTGATCGACATTAAGCATATCGATTTGATACGTGGACTGATTAGAGATTTTACACATGTGTCATTGCATATATATCTTTGTGGACGAGATGGGATCATGAAAAGAAATAAAAGGTACACTTCCTAAAGGACAAACTTGTTATATTTTACAATGTATATGACAATGCGTTATACACCATGTGGTAGTGTGTGCTCATGATCTTTCCGAGTCTTATATAAGATATCTGAAGGTTATCTAAATCATTTTGAATTATGATTTCTTTTTGCCTTGGGATTCTGTGTGAACTAGTAGATGGTTTATTTACGCACAGTATGTATGTATGTATGCATGTATGTATGTATGTATGTATGCATGTATGTATCTGTATATTTATGTGTGTGTGCACGTGAGCTATATTTAACAGTTTGGTAGATAGTTTAGTTCGCTTCAGGTGGGTTGTGTTTGTGTGTGGAACGTAGAGCGTGAATGGAAAGAGAAAAAAAAAAGCAAGAACCCTAACATCAAGCAAATACAAAACAAAATCCATGTATACCGGGCATATTTATTTCCATTCATATGACAGCTTATCAAATATTTCTTGGTTAAATACTTATTGCATAGTTCTTTGAAGCAAACTGAGTATAAAATACCCTCTATTCTGCTATGTTTTAAAATTATATCAATTAGCGAATATCATTTTATTCGTCTTTTTGTCTGTTCTTCCTATATAACATATGGGTATTTCATACAATATCCTTTACAGCGACTAAATGAAAATGGCATATTGTTCAATAAACCAACAATGTGAAAATAAAAATAAATAATACATATACAGGGTAATAAGAAGAGCCAAGGTTTCAATGCACCTCAAAGATCACTGTTTGAAAGAATACAATTTTTTAACTTTTGGTCCCATAATTCCCACATTTACAACTGTTATATCTTTTCTTGCTCACCTGCTAATGGTTTTACATTACAATAAATACTGTCACCCCTTAATAAAATTTAATTAAACAGAAAGTGACAGCAGTCTAGATGTATCAATCATCCTCTCCCTGTAGATAACGAAGTGATTAGTAGCCTCTAGTCTACATATTTGACTTATAACGTACCAATTCAGTAAAATGTGTTCACTAAGAAAGTCAGTATCCTTGGTCCATAAATCATGCCATAGATTTCAATATTTTTCAGAAAACACTGTAAGCTTGTGATCAAAGTCACCATTTCCATTCTGATGACTGTGAGACTGTAACATTTTAATGCTGATATACACAGGAATATAATTTATAATAATTCAAAGATCATGATATTAACATTCGGACAGAAATCACGATCCTTAACCAGAACCAGATCTAACCAGAACCAAATCCTGAACCAGATCCTGACCCAGACCCAGATCCTGACCCAGATTCTGAACCAGACCCAGATCCTGACCCAGGTCCAGGTCCAGATCCTGAACCAGAACCAGATCCTGAACCAGATCCTGACCCAGACCCAGATCCTGAACCAGACCCAGATCCTGAACCAGAACCAGAACCAGAATCTTCTGCAGCTTCCCAGTCACAGCTACCAGAAACTTCATTGTAAACGTAGTTAGGGGTGGTGCAATTTTTCAAACCGGGGTAGTATTGTGATCTACCAGAAAGCTGAAGATCTGCACACTGTCCAGCTGTTGCATTATTCATACCTAAAACATTAATATATTATGCAAATATAATAATAATAATAATAATAATAATAATAATAATAATAATAATTATATATATATATATATATATATATATATATATATATATATATATATATATTTAAAATCTTCAGTTTCCATTTTTAATGTATCTAAGCAAAAATAATATATATGTATACTGTACTGATAATATAAAGTAAGGGTTTATTCAGACATGGGTATACAAATTAAAAATCAACACAAAAATCTGGATTTGATTTAGGAAAATGTATAATGTTTCAGTGCTACAATATTGCTGCTAAACAATAATTTTCTGACTTTTAAAGCGAAAAGTGGCAGAGGAATACTTGGACTATAGTTCTTGATAAATAAAAGCAACGTCATAGAAGTTATACACGCGTGATAATTCAAAAAAAGGAAAAAAAATCACCTGCAATAAGATTTTCCTCCGAGATATTCATTTGAAATGCATTGGCAAACTTTTCCAAGCAACCATTGTAATCATCATCAGAAACAGTTCCATTTTGAAGCACAATGCCAGAAACAATAATCTTTGCCTAAAAATTAAATGATGGCTTAAATGTAAGACAAAATCACTGCTATTTTCCGAATATACATATTTAAATCAGCTGTCACATACAGATTCATCTAAATATATAAAATGATATGACGATGAGAAGAGCCCCCCCCCCACCTCAAAATAAAATGTTCAATCTGAAATCAATGAACATTTTTGCAAAAAAAAAGTAAGATATGACAAAAATAGTACTAATAATTAAAAAAAAAAAAAAGAATGCTCACCATGTTCCCAGAAGTCTCGAGGTGAACAAGCGGCCATCCTGGTACCCCCGTAATTACCATTTCATCAGAGTAGCAGGTCACCATCAGCAAGTGATTTATAGCCTTGGCATGCTCTTCAATGCGCATGCTCATAATTGAACCATACGACATACTGCACTCTTCAGATATAGAAGTGTTCCTGGCACTGCTTGCATTAAACCACAGCACCACTATATTGGAGGGCGCTAAAATAGAATTGATACCAATGAGTTATACTCTTTAGTAGCAGGAGATGACCAATGTATTTGCATGACAAACCATTCGACAATTTTATAATGGTTTGAATTGTGTCTTTGGTTTTCAATCAAGTTCGTATTGAACAATCCAGGAAAATATCACTCACCGGGCATACATAAGCCTGTCATTTCGGATACAGCTTCCCCATAACCACAAGCCAACTTGCCAGGTTCGTATGTTGCATCTNCGTAATTACCATTTCATCAGAGTAGCAGGTCACCATCAGCAAGTGATTGATAGCCTTGACAAGCTCTTCAATGCGCATGCTCATAATTGAACCATACGACATACTGCACTCGTTAGATATAGAAGTGTTCCTGGCACTGCTTGCATTAAACCACAGCACCACTATATTGGAGGGCGCTAAAATAGAATTGATACCAGTGAGTTATACTCTTTAGTAGCAAGAGATGACCAATGTCTTTGCATGACAAACCATTCGATTAATTTTATATCAGTTTGAATTGTGTTTTTGGTTTTCAATCAAGTTTATAATGAACATTCCAAGAAAATAACACTCACCGGGCATACATAAGCCTGTCATTTCGGATACAGCTTCCCCATAACTACAAGCCAACTTGCCAGGTTCATATGTTGCATTTACTAAGTTCATAGCAGGGCAATCTTTTGTAGCCTCCATCTCCCATGCAGCTATAGACATATTGGACATTGCTTCCCTTCTGAAATACTCTAACATGTTTTGGCCACAGCGTTCAACATGGTGTGCCAGAAGTGTCGTGTCATCATCCTCGGCATACAACCTCATTTTCATCTTCAATACCATGTTGACCTAAAAAGGTTAGGACACTATGTTTAAAACATTCCATAAGTAAGACCTTCAAAATTAACCAAATTAAGTCAGCATTGGTAATATACATTTTTGTATCAACACAGAGATCAGAAATAGTTTGAGACCTTGACATTAAATTACTTGACAGTGGGTTTATTTAATTTTAGGACTCGCCTTACACATAATGCCAATAACTTACATAATTGCCTTCTGCCATTACATACACTCCAGTGACCATGCTGTGAGTAGACAGTTCTCCCTCACACACGTACTGTGACAACTGTGTCAGGTTTTGGCTCATGTCATTGGTGGCAAACCACATTTTTACACCTTCCTCCAATGATCCAAGGCAGCTTTGAGATACATTTGTTCCAGCATCAAGCTTGATGTGCTGGGTTACCAAAATACCTGAAACATAATTTGATGATCAGGAAAATTGCCCACTTTTCCATATTTTACATGTCAAAGGTAATGCTTTTGTTACAAATTGTTCAAATGTACAGAAAGCATTTAAAATGTTGAAAGGAACTGATTAAACTGCCGTTTTCTTAAATGCATACCTGGTGTTTCTCCCTTTGGTTCAACATTTGACCCTGGAAATACAAAGATCATTTCAATACCATTGCCGATTCAAGGTCAATAAAATGCACCAACATGTTCAAATGTTTACGTGGGTACCAATGGAGCGCTCACTACAATTTACTTCAATNATCTGCTTGTTGAGATACTGATAAACAACACTGTTTCACTTTCATGATATTGGTTGTTGATTTCATCATCATCATCATCATTATAATAATAATAATAATGATGATGATGAACTTTTGTCTGTATTATAGAACTGTTTCAATAGCTCTTTGTTCCTACTAGCATATGGTTTTTGAGCTGTATGCATACCTGGCGTTTTTTTGTCTTGTCCATCTATTTGACCTATATTAATTGACGAAAAAAGTGAAAAATAGAATTATCAAATGAACAAAAACATATAACCTCATTTTCTCATAAGTCCATGTCACCAATGAGGCCTTAAGGAAGTTGTAAGAAGGCTGAGAATTTCTGTAACAACGGTTGGGCTTCTAAAAATACATCAAGTACCATCAACAATACAGAATACACCATGCTTGAAATTTGCTATTTGAATACAGCATACTTGCGTACTTAGGGTAGTAATTCATCATTAAAAATCCATCTGAACGTTACTGAACCAAAATCAAAGAGCTATCTTTTGTAACAAACGGAATTGAAATGCACATATTAACTTCCCATGATGATGACTTGGTGCTGGATTATGTACATTTTTGAACTGATTTATAGTTCTACTTCATTCCTAATATTTAACATCAGTATTTATGTCATATACAGACTTGACATTTAATATGGAATATTTCAGTTTCGAAGGTATGCCTAGGTAAAAATGCATTCTTTTTTCAAAAAAACTCCGATCTCATATAAGATATTGCATGGAGAGGTGTGTAGTCAGGTTTGTCGCTTCCAATTAACTGAATACCAGGTTTGTTGCGCTGCTGCATTATGTAATATGCAGTGATTTAATTGGGTAGTGCTCCTTTGGGCAGGTCAAAGCTTGGCTTTGGCAAAGCATGGTTCTGTCAAAAAAGTATCCATATGTCGGGAACTACTGCATAGAAGAATTTGAAATTTTGCATGCAAGTGGTCGGTTTTGCAAGGTGTAAAATGAACTAGCGGTGCTCTGCAAATTTATTAATCTGTGGCAGAAGTCAGACATTGCAAGACAGATAATTGCGCCAAACGAAACAGTCCGCACAGTTTTATAGAGTAATGCCCAGACTGATGTACCTACACAGAGTCCACCACCAATGTATTGAAATCTTACCACCAGGGTACAGGACCCACTGTCTGTCGGGATATGCTGTTGCAACTAAGCAAAAACTACCCAGACCGTTCAGAATTAGGGGTAAATTGCCACTAAAACGCATTTTTCAAGGCCCTTAGCGAACACCAAACTGGTTTTACCTGGTTAGAATACCAGACGAGCTCAGGGGAACCCACTGTAAACAGCAAAACATCGTTATATGTTTCTCTAATGAATTGGGGACCCTGATCGTTTCCGAGTTGAACACTGAAACCTCGTGGCTTTCTTTATTGAGGTCAGATTTCAGCTGTACCGCTCAACCAGTCAAAACAGAGTTTACAGACATCCAGAAGAGGCCAACGACTAAGCGTGTGCCGCGTCTAAAGTGACTAAGGTCATTAACAGCGTCAGTAATTGGAGTAGATACCACATTGGTGCCAAAACGCCAAAACACCAATGATGGTCATCCACGAAAACCTGAACCAGATCAAATAAAGGAATAATCTGGGAACCACTTGACTATCATTTGATAGGGGGCACCTTAGGAACAATTTTAGGTTGCACGGTGAAATTGCCGGTACAAACATAGCACTTTTAATAGCAGATTACTTACAGAACCAAGGGAATGAGCAGCTACCTTGGTAATCAAAATCGCCATATTGGAACCACACAGACAATATGTGGATAGGCCATTACTCGCCGAACCAATGGCCTACATGTCCTACAACAAAACTGGACCAAATTGGACAGAGTTTGACCGATGCCTTCCAGATTATTCCAGATTGAACTCTAAAAACTTAACCCAAGGAATGCCTTACCACTTGAGAGCGCTGGTAGCAGACAGAAGAGGTCAAGCGTACAGCCACCGTTACTGTGCCTAGACACTGACATGGGGGTTCTTTGTGAAGCGTGTATCTCTTTTACATAAAAAATAATTTGAAAAATATGGAGATCCAAAATATCTCTTTTAATTGTTGTCGTATGACATAGAATAGGCAATGTGTTTTTGTTTGCTTCTCTGGCAAATTCCATTAATGAACTGATGTCACAATGACATCAAAGAGATAATTAAAAGTTATTAAAACACGATTTTAATCCTTATTTTCATTTATCAGTCAGCAAAATAGGAAAAAAATGATGAAAAATGATTTGGAAAAAAATATTCCATATTAAATGTCAAGTCTGTATGATCATTATTTAACACAAGATAAAACAAATGTTATGCTGTTTGCTATATCATCTGTCAGGCAGTGGGTAACAACTGACGTTAGAAAGCTGAGAGGTAACCTTTAGCTACACTGCAAGCTAATGGTATGAAAACATTTTCAACTTGTGCTCAATAAGTAACATCTATGATCCAAATACCAAGCAAATGAACAATTTTGCTCATTATTATTTATAGTTTTAACCAATCCTGGTGTAGTATACCTGGGCCGTCAGTTCCATTTATGGGCATTGATGTTGTTGTTGTCGTTGTTGCCTGAGTGGGTTTTGGGGTAGGTTCCACTTCACACGTTTTCCCACTGTAACCACTCTTACAGTCACAGCGGTAGCTATTAAGCAGGTCTTCACATGCCCCGCCATTTTTGCATGGTTTCAGACGTGCACAGTCATCGATATCTGAAAGGAAAGAGTTGAAAACTTATAAATCAGGTGTGAAGGAATATATATCTGAGCGCACCAGGAATGGAGGTATCGATTCTGTACCCCCCCCCCCCTTCTTATGGCTTCCTGCTCTTGTGACTGATGTTCTTTAAAAACATCCCTGCCCTTCCCCCGCTCACCCCCTCCCCTCCTTGCTCCTGTGTCTTAATATTATCATGCATATAAACGCAAGGAGGTATTTCATACACATAATAGAATAGAAATAATATGAAACAAATCAAGCCAATAAGCTATGAATGGTCAGCATGCACTGCTTTAGTTAATATAATGATGGTGATATTTATATATTTAATGTTATGGTGATATTTAGGTATTTGATATTTATATATTTAATAATTTGATAATGTGAGTTCCCAGAAACGCATGTAAACCACTACTATTAGTTTCTTATACGACTTCAATAAATTCGACATACCAAGGGATAAACTAAATAAATCAAGCGATCTACCACAAAGGAGCTTTAAACTGCTCCTTTCTTCAGAATTTTGGTCGTTAGTTTAACCTACTCACCTGACCTACTTTTTTGCTTATATATATATATATATATATATATATATATATATATATATATATATATATATAAGAGGAAGCCAGCAGATAATCTGTACAAAAACATAATTTTTGAGGTAATATATTAAACGTATTTTAAATGTACTTTGGTAATTTTCTTAGTTATACTATTGGAAACTATATGCTGGCATTCGGTCGACTTTTGTGGCAACAAAATTAGCTTCATATGCATCTTTAATAATACCTGATAGGCAGTCGTCGTCAGGATCATACCCAGGGACACAATCACAGCGGTATTGTTTAGCCAGATTTTTACACGTCCCACCGTTATGGCATGTCACTCCCTCGCAGTAGTTCACCTCTACAAAAATAGATTGATCCACTCATCACCGATCTCTTTAACAAAAAAAATCCGTTTTTAATACAAAGTTGCTCCACACATGAAATAAAGCCCTATGTAACTTTAACAGTCTGTAACAAAAGCAGTGCTAACACAACAATGATGTACAATACATGCTTTCCCAACGCATCTATAGCTACTACTAATGCCCTCTTTAAAACACGCAAAAAAAAATAAAAATAAATAAATTTGGAAAAGGCTGAAAAAACACACTGTAATATGTTTAATGTAAAATTCTACAAACAAAATATGCAATTTATCATCAATGGTCTTCGGAATTTTTAAGCAAACTTGGTTAATTCTATAGTAGATTGCGTTTTTGTCTAATGTATAACTTGCCTTCCACTTTCACAGACTCTTTGATGACTTTCGTGAATATGTTAGCTAGCGTTCCTATCAGCGACGGCTGTTCAGTGGAGGTAGCATTGGTGGAGGCATTCTCGGCGGCCTTCATGTCTTGCTCTATTTTTATAATAGCCTCAATGATAACATTGGCAACTAAGTTGACGAAGTTAACCTAAAATGAATAAAAACCGTCATTGTTAATAATACAAGTTAATCAAAAAAGACGTTGACCACTTAGAAGACGAGGTTAACCCAAAATAAAAAAAAAATTAATAATAAACTGTCACCGTTATTAATGCAAGTTAATCAATAAAGCCGTTGGCTGCTAAGTGGACGAGGTTACCTGAAATAAAACCCTGTTAACTTTTGGTGATAGGAATAGCTTAGGTGTACAATTTTCACGTGCATGATACGTAATCAACCATGCAATGTCGCGGGGATGGTGCAGGTGTAACGAAACTGAAGGTCTGTGTAACAGAAGGCCCGCCCTCCATTTCGTTATAATGGTTAGGGTTAGCCTGATATAAGAGGGACAAAATCTAGGGCGAGGCCTATCTGTACAAATGCATGGGGAAGGGACTCTCCATCATGGGGACACTCTGTCACGTTACACCGGTGCATTGGCCATCAGCGTTATCAACGATATCATGCCGTACAGAGCGAAACATTGCACCACCTGCCGGTGGCTGATTTCACAGCTGTGAGAATAAACTTCAACCTCATTCTCACCCCCACCCCACCCCGAGCGGACATTCCCTACCGTGTTCTTTTCTTTTGAATGTGCCCCACATTGCAAATTATGGCCATTTTACGTGTCATCTTACTTTAAAATAAACGGATCAAGTTATGTTTTTCTTGATTTACACTGAAATTTAGAATTATATTACAGACTTGACATTTAATATGGAATATTTTTTTCCAAATCATTTTTCATCAATTTTTTTTCTACTTTGCTGACTGATAAATGAAAATAAAGATTAAAATCGTGTTTTAATAACTTTTAATTATCTCTTTGATATCATTGTGACATCAGTTCATTAATGGAATTCGCCATAGAAGCAAACAAAAACACATTGCCTATTCTATGTCATACGACAACAATTAAAAGAGATATTTTGGATCTCCATATTTTCCAAATTATTTTCTGTAAAAGAGATACACGCCTCACAAAGAACCCCCATGTCAGTGTCTAGGCACAGTAACGGTCGCTGTTACGCTTGATCTNAAAAAAAAAAAAACATTTAAGCCCTATACTGAGCAAGGTTGTCGCTTTTAAATCAGGGTTCTATGCGTTCTGTGTCGACTTCCATTAGTAAATACAGACTTGACATTTAATATGGAATATTTTTTTCCAAATCATTTTTCATCAGTTTTTTCCTATTTTGCTGACTGATAAATGAAAATACGGATTGAAATCGTGTTTTAATAACTTATAATTAACTCTTTGATGTCATTGTGACATCAGTTCATTTATGGAATTCGCCAGAGAAGCAAACAAAAACACATTGCCTATTCTATGTCATACAACAACAATTAAAAGAGATATTTTGGATCTCCATATTTTCCAAATTATTTTCTGTTAAAGAGTTACACGCCTCACAAAGAACCTCCATGTCAGTGTCTAGTCACAGTAACGGTCGCTGTTACGCTTGACCTCTTCTGTTTGCTACCAGCGCTCTCAAGTGGCAAGGCATTCCTTGGGTTAGGTTTTTAGAGTTCAATCTGGAATAACATTCCAGGCATCGGTCAAAATCTGTCCAATTTGTCCAGTTTTGTTGTAGGACATGTAGGCCATTGATTCGGCGAGTAATGGCCTACCCACATATTGTCTATGTGGTTCAAATATGGCGATTTTGATTACCAAGGTAGCTGCTCATTCCCTTGGTTCTGTAAGTAATCTGCTATTAAAAGTGCTATGTGTGTACCGGGAATTTCACCGTGCAACCTAAAATTGTTCCTAAGGTGCCCCCTATCAAATGATAGTCAAGTGGTTCTCAGATTATTCCTTTATTCGATCTGGTTCAGGTTTTCGTGGATGACCATCATTGGTGTTTTGGCACCAATGTGGTATCCACTCCAATTACTGACGCTGTTAATGACCTTAGTCACTTTAGACGCGGCACACGCTTCGTCGTTGGCCTCTTCTGGATGTCTGTAAACTCTGTTTTGACTGGATGAGCGGTACAAGTAAAAGCTGACCTCAGTAACGAAAGTCAAGAGGTTTCAGTGTTCAACTCAGAAACGATCAGGGTCCCCAATTCATTAGAGAAACATACAACGATGTTTTGCTGTTTACAGTGGGTTCCCCTGAGGTCGTCTGGAATTCTAACCAGCTAAAACCAGTTTGGTGTTCGCTAAGGGCCTTGAAAAATGCGTTTTGGTGGCAATTTACCCCTAATTCTGAACGGACTGGGTGGTTTTTGTTTAGTTGCAATAGCATATCCCGACAGACAGTGGGTCCTGTACCCTGGTGGTAAAATTTCAATACATTGGTTGTAGCCTCTGTGTAGGTACATCAGTCTGGGCATTACTCTTTAAAACTGTGCGGACCGTTTCGTTTGGCACAATTATCTGTCCGGCAATGTCTGTATTTTTCGCGACATTCTGCCACAGATTAACAAATATGCAGAGCACTGCATAGCTCATTTTACACCTTGCAAAACCGACCACTCGCATGCAAAATTTCGAATTCTTCTATGCAGTAGTTGCCGACATATGGATACTTATTTGACAGAACCATGCTTTGCCAAAGCCAAGCTTTGACCTGCCCAAAGGAGCACTACCCAATTAAATCACTGCATATTAAGTAATGCAGCAGCGCAACAAACCTGGTATTCAGTTAATTGGAAGCGACACACCTGACTACACACTTCTCCATTCACATTTCTTATATGAGATCGGAGGTTTTTGAAAAAAGAATGCATTTTTACCTAGACATACCTTCGAAACTGAAATATTCCATATTAAATGTCAAGTCTGTAGTTTAAAAGGCTGTCATACGTGGAGGGTGCAGAGGTAAAATGTATCCAATCAGATTTGTGAACGGGATGGAAGGGAGCAGTTTGAGAAAACGCCAACTCAGTGCATCATGATAAATATAATTGGTTGTTTTCTTCTTAAATAAAAAATACACCCTTTCATTGTGGAATCACTTTATTATTTTCTTTATAATATAATGTGCTAACTTTACAAGTTCATATTTTCTAATACAGGTTTTCTCACGCTTATTTTCCTCGATCAGTACCAGTCGTGAGTACTTTTTTTGCAAATTGCATCAATCTCCTTTGATAACATGTGTTTTTTTTCAATAAGCAATAAAATATACATTTATGTAATTATTTAAGCACGTTTCCACACCTACTTTATCTAAAATAATAAATAATGTCACTCCCACATAAAATCTTTCGACTTCATTAAATAAAATTTCATTCAAATCCGCTCATGTTATTTATTACAGTCATTAAACATTTGATATAAATTTACCGTGTCTTCTTCCACGCCATTTTATATTGAATAAGCCATAATTACAGAGACGGCAGTTAACAGACTAGGTGACACGTACAGGCGGGCTTCCCATAGACTGAGAACAATGTCGTATCATTAATAGCACCAAACAGCATCATGTTATACAACTGACAAGCGGGTATTGCATCATCTTCATGATGGTTTATTCTAGTTAAAATACACATTTGAACACTTTTCAGGGACCAATAATTGGAATAAGAATCATGATGTCTGTTTACATTTCCATATATAATACATGCTTGGTCAAAAGGTTCTCCCATTTACTCTTATAGTTTAATGTTAGGTATATGAGAATGCACAGTAACCATACCTAAGTCATAGAAAAAAATTAGAGCCTTCAACCCGAAAGCCATGCATGCACTAGTGGCATATATTGCTATTTATGGGTTTCCCTACATTTTACTGACCGAAAAATGGAGATTTCTTATTTTTGATGAGGAAATAATCAACGATTGCTTTGGCGAATTCTTCCTTTTCAATGTGGTTATTATGGTTTTCATCAGTAAAGATAAACGACGAATTGATGCCATGGTGAACGTTATATACTGCAAGGTAGTCTCTGTGTTCATCAATACTAAGTTTTCCATTGTCGTCATAATCTGCTATATCAAATAATTTTGCAGCCACAGTTCTTAACGATTTCGACGCGAAAGCGGACTTTAAAAGATCGATGCGCATGTGTATCGAAATGAAGTCATCCAGGTCGAATTCATTTTCAAATTGGTTTTCTGGAACTGACCAAAAGGTTGACCAGGCTCTGGAGAAAGTATCGTTGAAATCATTGATTTTGTCTGCCCGAAAATATACTTTGGCTCTTTCAACTGGAATATCAACGTACTCATGGCGGTTCACAATTCCGTCATTGTCAGCATCCAATATTGCGAAGAAACGTTCCATTTTAGCACGCCATTCAACAGGCAGGTTCTGAAAGTTATTGGCTAATATTAACAGGTTTTTTTTTTTTTTTTTTTTTTTTTTTTTTTTTGCAAATAACGAATACTCAAATGTATAACAACGGTAACGATAACGATACATAACGTATTCTTCTAGAAACCGTTAAAGGAACATGTTTCATACCCCTTTTCAACAACGGCTACGAATTCTACGCACCGCCAGATATTGATAAATCGTAGGGTTTTTACTTTAACCTTGAGAATTATTTTACGTTTCTTACTGAGTATTGTCAGTCAATTTTTGCCTATCTTGAGAGAACGTGAAATCGGGACAAACTACATAATGCACTGACTGTGATGCATGTGATTAAAAAAAAGGAACAACGGAATAAACCTTACAGATCTCATTCTCCATAGTATGTAGGTGGTTATCAATATTTGGCCCCGACATATTTAGAATGCACCAGTCAGTTGGGTGGATGCTTTATTGCGTCAACTCAATACTCAGGTTCAGTATTTGTGAGCAAGGCATAAAACAAACGGAACGTGAGCCTTACCTTGAGGCGACTCTGAGTTCCAGAAGAGTGACTCCCAAGTATATTAACAACCGCCAGCGTCAAGCAAAACAAACGTGGGGAAAACATTTTAGTCATATACTGTTCTATGCGTTCTGTACCGCCTCGAATAAGTGAATGATTTAAAAAGACTGTTACTCGTGGAAGGTTTGCTTCTTGTCTCGTCTGCACGAGATAAC